GGTTGGACTCATGTATGAAAGGCCCCCTGTCCCGAATTGAGTGAGCAATCTTGAATTTATACCTCATTTTCTATGGCAAATACACTGTATTTTTGTGCTTTAAGAAATTTACTGTATCTTCACTTCATTCTAGAAAAAAGTCAGAAATCATTAGGTTACATAAGAACCGTTTTATATTTAGAGGTTTTTTTCCATCTTGGTGATCAAACCACTGAAAGGGTAGTGTTGAGCTGGATTGAGACCCCACCTAATCTCTCAGCTGCAGTCTTCCCAGACTTCCCACACCTGCCCTGGCTGGCAGCCGACTGCCAAGTCCTGGCCTCATGCAGGTGGTACTGGTGGTCACTGGGGCATTGTTGAAGGAGGCCAAGGTCACCCAGCTGCAAAGTAAGCCTTGGCTTCATTCCCTGGGCCCAGAGTTTACCTCTGAACCAGGCAGCCAAGCCACGGGTGCGTGACTTTGTCCAGGGCAGCAGGGTGGTGTCTGGCGGTTTGGTCTGACGTCAGTTCCCTGCTCCAAGCACTTGTGCTTTGGAGGATGACTGAGGAGCAATAGGCTTGTCATTGATCATCCCTTCTTTCAGCCTCCACGTGCACCCTCTCAAATCACCTGTATTTCCTTCTGATGCATCTCCTCTCTCCTATAAACCAACCAGTTACCATTGAGTCATCTCTGACTCTGACTCATGGTGACCCCATGTATGTCAGAGTAGAACTGTGCTCCATAAGGTTTTTAGTGGCTGATTTCTGGGAAGTAGATTACCAGGCCTTTCTTCTGAGGCACCTCTGGGAGGATTCGAACCTCAACCTTTGGGTTAGCAGCCAAGCACATTAACCACCCAAGGACCCCCCTCTCTCTTATAGGGGATGGAAATAATGAAACTAAGGGATGAACTATGGAGGGAGATATCTGTGTGGTTTGGCAGCAATGGGGCCAGGGAACCCAGCCCCTGCAGTCCCTGAGGGTAATGCATGCATGGGACAGTAATCAGCAAAGTGACCCTGCACAGGGGCCTCCCTTTCTTCTCCTGGAGATGCAAGAGGGCCCGCTTTATCCTCTGAGCTCAGGCCAGAGCCACCAGCCTTACCCTCTGATGCAGAGACAGGATGTGCAACAAGAAGATGCAGAAGAAAGCACAGACCCCCAGGAGAAGACAAGCTTTGGGCCCCAAGGGCTGCCAAACTTTGCAAGTCCCCACAGTCACCTCTGGAGGGGAATGCACTTGAGACCCTGTTGTCATCCTGCACTCCTTTCTCCCCTCCCCGATCTCAGTATGTGCCCAATTGCTTTTCCTTTCTCTGTTGACCAACAAAACACAGATGTGCGCTGGTTCTTCCCTGGACCTCTTTCTTAAAGACATATTTCCTTCTTGGTTAGTGGAAGATTTTTCTTTCCTTATTTTAAATGTGTTTCTCCATCTCAGGCTAATCTTCCAGCACAACCACATTCAGTTTAAAAGAGAAAGCATCTTCTCATCTCCATTGCCGAAGCCCACTTTGGTGGGTGATAAAGGCAGGCCACCTCATCCTTGATCTTTCCTCCAGTATTGTGTCCGTTGTGTCTCTGGACTTCTCTGTGGCTCACCAGTCACAAGTGCCATAACTAACATGCTTCGTTTTACTCCTAACTAGCTGCCACAAGCTCCGGAAGCGGAGAACTCCACAGAGGTGTGTTGCTCACCTATATTTGCTGGGCCAGCAAATATGGGTGCTTCTGAGTTGTCCTGGTTCAGTGTCTGAACTGTCGTGGTGGAATGTCTATCCTGCGGGGGTGTGTAGGAGAGAGTCACTAGCCAGGGTAGAGACTGATCATTACTGCCCTTAGCAGCTAGAGCTCAACCAGTGTCCCTTCCAATGAAAGTGTGCAAAGCTTTCATGCAAGATTGCTTGTCTCAGTCTTGAAATGTTCAGTTGATAAATTCTGGAATGTTAAGACCTTTCTAGTTCAGTGGTAGAATTTTCAACTTCTATGCAGGAGACCTGGATTTGATGACCGGCCAACGCACCTCATGCGCAGCCACCACCCATTTGTCAGTGGAGGCTTGCATGTTGCTATGATGCTAAACAGGTTTTAGCAGAGCTTCCAGACTAAGACAGACTAGGAAGAAAGGCCTGGCTATCTTCTTCCAAAAAATTAGCCAGTGAAAACCCTATCGATCACAATGGTTTGATATGCAGCCAATCATGGGGATGGCAGAGGACCAGACAGCATTTATTTCTGTTGTGCATGAGGTCACTGTGAGTCAGGGGCTGACTCAATAGCAGCTAACAACAACAACAAGACAATTTTCATTATTATACAATATACAAGATAAATCTAGGTCTTGTGCAGAGATGACATAATTTTCAAGTTCTAGATACTAATTTATAGTTTGGGGAAAACTGCTAATAAACTTGCAGTTCTCACGATGCACTCTTTCTGTTCTTCCTATCGCTAACCAAACTTGCTAAATGAGGGGCTAGAATTTATCAAGGCATACAGAGTCATAGAGATGCTTTTTAGGGTGGAGGCATACTTCGGAGTATAAACATTTATATTCAGAAATTGTTTGCAAATCACAGTAGTCAAAGCTAGAATGAAGTGTCCCTTATTTGAAAGAAATCAATTGAAGATCTTAAGATGAAACACAAGCATAGTCTCAAATAGCAAAGTTGCAGTGTGGATGTTTTATAGTGATCAGTCTCTGGTATTAGAACCAGAGCTCTTCACTGTTAGCAGCTTTGATTAGAATGCTGATGGGCTGGGGAAGTGTGGTGGCCTCGTATATGTGTCTGCTCAGAAGTGTATGTATTGACGTCCTTCCGCATGTGCTGTCCAATAATGCATGTATGACTCATAAAGACCTGCCTGGGTGAGTCTTGCATTAGAACCCCTGTTGGGTTAAGGTAAAAGTGTATAGAACTTACTTCTCATTATCTTTGCAAAAAATATTGTTGGAAAAAGTCATATGCCTGTTCATTTTAAATAGGGCACTGGGTGGGGGGGTGGACAATTATTAAGCAGTATCTAAAGAAAATGAGGAGTCCCTGGGTGGTGCAAATGGTTAACATACTTGGCTGCTAGCCAAAAGGTTGGGAGTTCAAGTCCACCCAGAGGTGCCTCAGAAGAAAGGCCTGGCGATCTAGTTCTGAAAAAGCGCCATTGAAGACACTATGGAGAACAGTTCTACTCTGACACACGTTGGGATCGCCATGAGTCAGAGTTGACTCGCCAGCAGCTGGTTTGGTTTTAAAGAAACTGAGCACTAGTATTTGTCTGGGAAACAAAAACCAAAAGGCCTGTACTTCCTTTGTGTAACTCATTGTTGTATATTAGCTCTTGATGTGTTTTACTTGTGATTGATGCTAAAGATGGCAGTGTCTCCTTAGTGTCATACTTAAAATGGAATTTCTGCATGCTTAGCAGGAGCTTGAACCAAGTCCACCACTGAGGCAACTGGAAGACCATAAAAGGGTACGTAGTCTCGAGTATTGGGAACTGATGATCCTGACACCTCCCTCATCCGCACACTGTGATTTAAAGATAGCTTTTTGTTGGTGGTTGGTGATATTGTGAAAGCATTAGCTGGCTCAGGACCAATCACAGCCATTTATATAAATGAAACTCTCTGGAAATTCCACTTGTTATTTACCTGATCAGAAAAACATGCCTGGCCAATCTCCACATAGTGACCAATGGAGGTTTTCATGTCCTCTTTTCTTGTCCATGGTGGCTTTCTACTTATGCAAAATCTAAAAAAAAAATTTTTTTTAAGTAACTGATGATCATCGTAGATAATTTACTAAAAAAAAAAAAAAAAACAGAAAAATGTAATGAAAAAAATTCACAATTCTCTAGCCAGCCATAGAGGTTTTAATATTTCCTTCTGCCCACTTTGCTACACACATGAGCATGTGTGCCAATAACCACACAGTCACTCGTTGTCACTAGGATTTTGCTAAGTATACAGTTTTTGCACCCTGCTTTTTTCGTGTGATATATCTGAGCATTTTCTTTGAAAGTCTTTGAAAGTGAACAGCTGCCTCAAGTTCCATAAATTAGCTAGTGGTTTGTAATTTTTTCCTTTGACAAAGAAATGAACAAATGTATGTGTCTTTGGATAGATTCCTAGAAGGGGAATTCCTCGGCCGAAGGGTAGGTACTTTCTTAAGGCGCTGATTCTGCATTGCTAAGCCATTTTCTAGAAGGGTTACATACATACATCTGCATGCTGACCAATGCTGATTTTAATGTTACCTATTTTTGGAGGATCACCAGATGTCCTGATTTTTTGAGAGCTTATCATATGTCAATTACTGTGCTAAGAGTTTTACGTATGTTGACTCATCAATTATTAATTAATTATTATTAATGATTGGACTTCATCCCCATTCCAGAGACTAGGAAACTGAGACTCAGAGAGGTTAAGCTCCTTACCCAAGGTTACATGGTTAGAAAACCAACAGTCGTTGTGAAGACTGCCTTGGAGTTGTGTCTGTCATTGTCTTGGAGTCTTTATACCCAAGACAAATGGGTAGCCTGGGGCATCTGTGCTCTGGTGCACCTGCCCACACCACCATGTCCCAAATCCTTCCTATTCTCTTGCTCTGGTGGTAAAATAAACACTGTAATTTCTCAGACTATGCCCAGAGCATAGCTCCCAGGAAGGAGGCAGGTAGGCAGAATTCAGGGCCTGGCACTCCAGCGCTTCCCGGCGACATCCTGTAGTTCCTACAGTTCGTTGACCAAGGGCACTTTGCATTCATGTGTTTTTCACCCTTGCCTACGCTTTAAGAATTATCCTAGGTCTTAGAAGTAGCTGGTAAAGGGGCATAGCCATCCCTCATGTCCTATGCTCTCGGGTTACATGGCATTAAGGGCTGAGCTCTGGAGTTAGAAATGGGTTGAAGTCTCCGCTTGCCGGGCACTAGCTGTGTGATTTGGGCAAGTTATTTAACCTCTCCTTGCCTCAGTCTCCTCTGCTGTAAAATGGGGATGACGACAATGCCCATCCCCTTGGGCTGTGTGCTGAGATGTGTGTGTAAAGCACGTAGCACAGTGGCTGGAACAGCGTAAGTGGTAGCTATTCTATTGTAGTTGCCTTACAGGTTGAAACATTTAAGTGATGTCATAGACAACAGGAGTAGAGAAGGAAGGTGTTTTTACATTGAGGTGTTACCTTAGAACTGACTAAGGTGTGAGCGGCTCAGCACTCTTGGGAGAGGGGGATCTTTCCTGAAGCACATGATTTTTACGTGGCTGGAACCTGGGTAGCCAAAAGGTCACCTCCTCTCCTTTCTGTGTGACAATATTACTCCTTTGCGCCTTGTTCAGTACTTGGCTATATGCCCACACAGCTCATTAGCCACTCGTTAATAGAAATAAATGAAACTAGTGTTAGCAGAGTTTCAAGTTGGAAGCTTGATCTCATTCTACACTATTGATCTACCAGTTTTCACTGTTTTAACTTGATGCTTATTACAAACAAAACTCTCTGACTTTTCCTTTTCAGTCATAGATAATAATGTATGTGGAATTTCTTAACTGGAGACAAACAGCTGATACTTGTTTGCATACCGTAGGTATAAACTGCTGGAAAAAAACTAGTATTATTTTTTGTAAAAAAAAAAAAGAAGGGTTGTACAGCCAAATGTTAAAGCTGAAGAAGTGATGTTATTTGCGAATTCTTTTTTTTTTTTTTTCTTTCCTTCTCTGCAATCAGATTTCTCAGCCTGGTATTTTGGGAACAGCTTAGTGGTCTTGAGTAATTTATATCAAGATGATTAGGAAGGCTTTTCTTTGCAGATTTTAATTTTTCCTAAATTAAACCACTGGCTCAGGAAGACAGAATTTTCTTTGAACCAAAGTTATCACACTAGGGATTTTGTATATCTTTTAATAATGCTTATTCATTTTCTCTTTCTTTCTCCTTTTATCTAATATTCTCAATCTTTATTCTTTCATAAAGGGGACAAATCTCATCTGTTTAAAAGAGGGGAAAAAAAAGAACAAATCCCACTTGCTCTTTGTTTTGGGAGTCTTTTTTTTTTTTTTTTTTTTTTCCCCTCACAGTTTAATTTTTTTTGGTAGAGAGAAGGTGAGGTGAAATTTGTGCCAAGAGCCTTATAATGAAGAGGGAAAAAAAAAGAAGTTTGTTGGACAGAATGTGTGTGTATGGTTTTTTTCCCCCATAATGAGCACATTTCATGATATTCTCTTATGGGGGAAAAATGTACCATTTGATGCATCCGTTACTATGGTAACTGCTAGGGTTTTGCTGTTGAAGGAAAGGCAGAATGGTAATGTGAGATCCCTTTGTAACTTCAGTTTGGCATCCAGGCTGCATAAATGTGAAGTTCCTCTTCCTGGAGTCCACGTGCTCGCTGGTGGCATGTGTTGCTTTACCTCCTGCTCGTTTGATTACAAACTGCCCAGGCCCTTGCTGTTTACCCTCCAAACCACTAGGAGAAAAAACACCAGCAGGAGCCAAAATCTCACCTAGCACTCCGGCCCTCGGTGGAATTGTGGGGCAAAGCCTGCAGTTGAGACTGGTCATAGTCATACTGCCTTTAACTTGGCCATCAACCCCTGGGATCTCCCATATTCTTGCACGCTGGTAGGCTGGCTGTAGCTCACAGTTTCAACCCAGCCATCCACCTCTCAACAATGGTTTTGTTGTGCCAAGGGGGACTCAGTTAGAGAATTAGGAGGGTTTACTGCCAACCGTTCCTGTTGTTGGAACTCAGAGTCTGTGTCTTATTGAAAGTAAATCAAATAGGTGCCTCATCTTTAAAAAGGAAATCAGGTTCCTGGGTGGTGCAAACAGTTTGTGTTCCACTACTAACCTAAAGGTTGGCGATCCAAACCCACCCAGCAGCACCACGGAAGAAAGGCCTGGTGATGTGCTTCCATAAAGATTACAGCCAAGAAAACCCTATGGATCTCAGTTCTACTCTGTAACACATAGGGTCACTGTGAGTTGGAGTCAACTCAACGGCAACTGGTGGTTTTCTTTCTTTTAATTCAACATAGAGGTGTCCTTCCCCCCCCCCCACCTTTTTTTGTTAGTAGGCTTTCTTGAAAATTCCTTTGAAATTTTTGTTTCTCTTATGAAGCTAGCCTTTTAAATCACAATGTTCCCAGTGCCTGCTTCGGAGGGTGGTGATGTGTTTGTGCTGGTGCCTGAGACTCGTGAATACCAATAAAGCTCTGTCTTCATACCGAAATGTGAGATTCTGAGCCATTAAGGAATATCATACTAAAACTTTTTTTCCCCATGTACAAGCAGTTTATATAAAAAGTACTCAAAACCTTACAAGTAACTTTGCCACTTGAAGCACTATCCAAGTTTGATTTTACAGGTAGCCAAGGTGGGAAATGAGTTTCATAAGCTAATAGACATGCCCTCCTTGGGTGGATTACAATGAGAGACAAATTTGTGGATGGAACAGAAAATTGAGATTTTTTTTGTTTCCTGAACTTTCATTTAAAAATCAGTCCGTCTTCCCTCCCTCTTCCCTGCTTATTCGATCCCAGTTTGCCTTGGGAGTCTTTGACCAGCAGCAAGAATTAGCAACGGAGATAAAGTTGGCAGTGTAGCCCTGGGACTTTACATGATTTTGACAGCTGACTTGATGTTCTTCTCAGGAGTTTTCTGCCCTTCCCCTTTCTTCCCTGGTCCCCTGCCCCTCTCAGACTGCCTTCCACCTCCCCACCATTCCCAGGGTACCCTCCTCATCCTGTCTGCCCCCTCTTATCTTGTTTTGGCAAACACCTCACTTGAAGTCTCCAGACCTATTCTCGGAGCTTATTAATAAATCACTTCAGATTCTACTGACTCATGTTCAGTTGCCGGGCTCTTCAGAGGGACTTGGGAGTCTCTGTTTTAGAGACCTGCTATATTTCAGCACCTCTTGTCTCTGCTAGACTTCTCACTTACCTCTCTTGATGATGCATCAGAGGAACTCCATGCCTTATGATTTTGTCCCTGGGAAATAGGCCAATGGAAACTCATGCAGCCTTTGACTTTTACAGCTTTTAACTGTAGTCAGATGTACAGACTGGGAGGAGTCCCTGGGTGGTGCAAATGGTTAATGTGCTTGCTGCTAACTGAAAGGTTGGTGGTTCTAGTCCACCCAAAGGCACACAGGAAGAAAGGCCTGGTGATCTACTTCTGAAAAATCAGCCATTGAAAACCCTATGGAGTAAAGTTCTGCTCTGACACACATGGGGTCACCATGCGTTGGAGCTGGCTCGATGGCAGCCGATTACAGACTGGTAGGTGGTCTGGGAATCCCTTAGAAACATGGCTGAAAGAGCTGAGAATAAATCCTGCATCTATATGCTGGCTTGCCAATGACCCCTAGGATTAGTGAGAAAATTAACCTTTTATGTATTTTTTTCAGTTAGAGTTATGGGAAGTAGTTATGATATCCACTCTGCAGGTTTCCTTCGATACTCATATTTTTTATACTTTTTTATTATGACAAAGTTCAAGTATATACAAAAGGAGTCAGAAAAGTTTTGAGAACTCCCACTCATAACCCAGTGTCAACAACTGTAACTCATACCTGGTCTTGCCTCCTTTATACCCCTACCCACTTCCCCTTCCATATTATTTCAAAGCAAATCCCAGACATAATATCATTTTATTTGTGAAGCTTCTTTTTTGATTGACAAATCTGCCACTGATTCATTTCCTATGGCACTTTTTTTTTTTTTAACATTTGACCGATTGACTATTTCTTTAAGAAAGGATTGCTTCCAGCTTATAGCATTATACTCTATTACTCTGATATCTTAATATTTTCTTAGGATCTTGGGAATAAACACCTGGAGTAACATTTTTATATTTGTATATTGCTATGTGGAAGCTGACCTGTAAAAATTTCAATTTGTCTAAATTTCATTAACTTACCCCAAAGGGATTTTTGCTTTGTTTTGATTTTGTTATTGTTAGTTGCTTTTCAAAATTGATTTTCTGTCTTTATCACTGTGTAAGAGAGTACTTCAGATATGCAGTATTCTAGAATTGCTGCTTTTTGGGAAAAAAACCAAACATGATCTGATTCCCTGAGAAAATATTGAAGAAGTTAGCTTCAGAGTTTCCACATGCTTTTATTAATAATTTATTTTTTCCCTGAGTGAAACTGGACCAATTATAACAGTACCCCTGAGTTTGTTTAATATTAGTTGCTCAGTTATGCATTAAATTCAGAACCTGATTTCATTATCCTGTTTGAATTAAGGGTGAGGCGCTCAGGCAAATTTTGGTCAACCGTTACTATGGAAACGTCAGACCTTCTGGAAGAAGAGAGAGCCTTACCAGCTTTGGCAATGGCCCGCTGTCACCAGGAGGACCCAGCAAACCTGGGGGAGGAGGTAGGCTGTGCGGCGTGCTAATTAGCTGCATGGGTGAGTCATGCGTGTCACGTGAAAGCTGCGTGTTTCTGCAGGACAGGTTGAGACTCTTTTAACAGATAAACTTGGGTCGCAAGTGTAATTTTTAGCAACTTGTTTTGTCTTTGGTCTGCCATCAAATTGATGTCTAAAACATTTCTCTACAAAATAACATTTCCCTGCAATTAGATATTGGCTAAATCTTTTGCCCCTCTTTCCCGTGCAGTGGCCCTTTTGGTGATATTTGAATGAACTTGATTTTATTCATATTTTCCTGTGGTCACGGGGACTCTTGTCTTCCCATAAAATGATGATGATGTTGGCAGTGAGGGTGATGAAAAACTACCATTTGTTAACTGGGTGCCAGATGCTTTCCCAAATGTTTTGCAAACTGTATCTCATTTTTTCCTCCAAGTTACCCATTATATGGTGCTGTTGTTATTCCAGGGGCTCTCTGGGTAGTGCAAATGGTTAACGTTCTCAGTTGCTCACCAAAAGGTTGGAGGTTCAAGTCTACCCAAAGGCACCTTGAAAGAAAGACCTGGCGATCTACTTCTGAAAAACCAGCCATTGAAAACCCTATGGAGCACAGTTCTGCTCTGCACACGTGGGGTCACGATGAGTCGGAAATGACTCGATGGCAGCTTCTTTTTATTGTTACCCCAGTTTAACAGAGAAAACTGAAGCTTATTAGTGGCTGGTCCATGATTTGAACTTGGTATATCGAATTCCAAAGCCCATGCTGTATGCTTCCCCAAACTTGTATAGGAGTTTACACACACACACATACACACACATACAAACCATTTACAGAACTGCTTAAAACAAATCTTTAAAGGTGTTCCAAAACATTTTAAGCACAATTATAAGTAAAAATTGCAAAAATGTTGAACTATACTGTGGGTCTTACATAGTTTTGATTTTAAGGTGGACCAGTAGCCAGACACAATTAGCTCAGTACTCAAGGCACAGATGTGAGTTGCCTAATTCCCTGTGTTACAATGACGATGGTTGGACAGCTTAAAGACCTTGGTAGATTCTGTAGGTAGCACAAAAATACTCAGTGTTTAGTAAATCTGTCCTAGCAACTTCTAGGGAGGGGCCTTGGATGTAACAGCAGATAACAACTTTCAGTGTAGCTGCTCAGTTCATTAGCTGTGCAGGCTTCAGGGAAAATGCAGTTCTGAGGGTGTCCCAGAGACAGGGCCACCTCAGCTCTTCATCCAGGACTCCCCAGAGAGTCTCATTCAGGAGTTCCTCACACAACATCACTCCATGAATATGTGACGCCCTTGTGAGGCATGAGGAGGGGGACTTGGAAATGCATTAAAGATGGATTCTACTTCAGGAAGCTGTAGGAAAGAAGATATGCAGCCCACTTTCTACCTTGTGCTATGGACATAAGGACAGAGTTGAGGGCGGGCAGCATAAGGGAGGTGAATTTGAACTGAGCTCTGCAGGGAAGGACTGATAGATGAGTTTTTCACTTTCTGAAATTGAACAGCCCCCCACCCCATGTATGTGAAAGTTCCGGTTATTGCCAACAATAATACAAGCAAGTTCTTAAGTATATAGGTTCTAAACAGTCAGAACCCATTCCACTAAATGCTGTAGGCCCGCTTTGCTTAAGTACCCTCATCTTAAGCTCAGTAAGGATAGACACTCCCCTATCCCCAGATCTTGCCTCTGTATAGCAAGCTCTGAGTAAATGTTTGCTGAATGACTGAATGAACAGACAAGTTATATGGAAGGATGAATTTGGGCTAGGATGAGTTTGTGAGTTTGTTAGAAAGTAGTCTGAAATTATAGATATAGGCTGTGCTTTCTTAGGAGTGTTCTGTGGAGTGTTTAAGTTTGGTTTGTCTCTTAAATTCAAATTAGTTCTTAATAATTCTTCCCCCAAACCAAAACCAAACCCATTGCCGTTGAGTCGATTCTGACTCACAGCAACCCTATAAGATAGAATAGAGCTGCCCCCATAGGGTTTCCAAGGAGCAGTGGTGGATTCGAACTGCCAGTCTTTTAGTTAGCAACCAGATGCTTAACCACTGTGCCACCAGGGCTCCAAATCTACCCCAAGTGTATTTTATCGTAAGGGAGAGTCTTGGCTGGATAGCTTTAAGTCATCTCATTCTTCCTTCATCCTACTTGCCTGAGTTCAGATATCATCTCTGCTACTTTCAAACTGTGTGTCCTTGGGCAAGTGACTTCATCTCTATGTGTTTGTTTTCCTTTTTATAAGATGTGGTTAATAAGGAGTACATTCCTTGTGGGGTTGTGAAGAGGGTTAAAAAAGGTAACACAGGTAAAGGGTTTAATGCCTAAAGCATTGGTACATAGTAAGTGTGCAGTGAATGTTAGCTGCTCTGATAGTGGCTAATAAAAGCAATGTTCCATCTTCTAGGGGGAGGATCCGGGTCTGGCTCCGTGAGCAGGGGTGAAATGAGCCTGGCCGAGGTTCAGTGCCACCTCGACAAGGAGGGGGCCTCCAATCTGGTCATCGACCTCATAATGAATGCATCCAGTGACCGAGTGTTTCATGAAAGCATTCTCCTGGCCATTGCCCTCCTGGAAGGAGGCAACACCACCATACAGGTAGGAAGGCAGCGTGCTGGCTTGGCATCTCTGCCGAGTGGGAAGAGAATCTGTTCTGGGCGCCAGATACCTGGGTGGTGCCGAGACTCTTCTACAAGAGAGCGCTCATCCCGAGAGCATGAGATTACCCAGGATTCTACTGCTCCGAAAAATGAATTCTGTTGATAGCTTGCTGTGATCATCCCACCGTAATTTGGACTTGGATCCAAAGCATGAGTTACATTTGAAAACTGATGAAATGATGAGGATGCGTAAAGGAAACTGGCTCAGGGTCTGGGGCATAGTAGGTACCCCTTAAATGTTTGTTGAATGAATGATTGAATGAAGTGTATTTACAGTTTTAATCCGAGATCACAGGATAACCAGAAAGGAGTTTGGACTGTGTGTGCTACTTACAAGATTTAATTTTTAAATCTATAGATACTGCAGCTGTTGCTTCCTAGAAGTTTCCTCTGCCTTTAAACTGCGAAGTTTAATAACAACTAACCAATGCAAAGTGATAAGAAACAAGCCAGGCGAAGTCAGTCAAAGATGAGTAGATGGTTTTTTATTAGCTGAGTGTGGTATATATTTAAAAATAATAAGAAAAACTAGAATTCTTGGTAGAGTCCATAAAGACACCATTTTAATAATATAAAAATAACAAACATAACTTTTATGTAGAAATAGCATTTAAAATGATTCCTTTAAATATTTTAATACCTTTTTCTAAATGCAGTCTTTCTTCTTTCTTGGTTTTCTGAACAAGTGTTTTTCATTTTGTGTGTGTGTTGATAACATATGTATATACCTGTATATATGTGTACATATATATGTAACAGCTTTAATGAGATAAAATTCACATACCATAAAATTCACCCTTATTTGACTTGACATTCTATTCTTGGCCTTAAATTTCAAATGCAAGTCTGGATTAATGAAGTCTTGGTTCTTTGTAGAAATTGGGAAAGGACATTCTTCCCACAGGTGGTTGCAGCCCCGGGCCAGGGCACCTTGCTTGGCACGAGAGGCCCAGGTTGGATGTCAGCCCCTGCTCACTCTTCCAGCCAGGTGCCCTTGTGCCTTGCACAACTTGCACAGCCACCTGCATGGCCCTTTCTTCTCCCACTCCCATACCCACTTGCCCCAACACACACTTTTGAAGTTCATTGTTACACAGTGTACTAAATTGAATTTTGTGATGATGAGTTAGTCGCCTGTGCTAATGACAAAGTCCAATGCTTGTTTGAATTGTCACACGGGCATAAGAATTGAAACCTGTTGGAATTGCTGTTGGGTTTTGTCACCTGGGAGGCTGACCAGGAGAGCAGTGGGTCTTGTGGTCCTTCTCAGCATTAGGAAGTTGCCAAACCACTGCTGTATTCCTGGCGTCTGTATCCACAGGCTGGGATGGGAGCAGCTCTGAGACACTCCTTACTGTTGACACACATGTAGGTTTAGATTCCTGTGGATTAAGGTCAATTGAACTAAATATTTATTGTGCATTTTCTGTGTACATGGTGCTACACTAGGGTCTACAGCGCAATGCTTTCCAGATTCTGAAATCAGTTGGTCTGTGAGAGTTTTCTCCAAGCATAGCCAAGTGTGAAAAACTAGTTTAATGTGGTGAGTTTTTCATAAACCATATGTGTTCAGTTTTAATGACCATCTGACAATTTTTCTGAGATTATATCCTCTTAATTTTTTTTAAGCTCCAGTATCTTTTATTGAAGAGCCCTCATGGCACAGTGGTTAAGCTCTTGGCTGCTAACCAAAAGGTTGGTGGTTCGAACTCACCAGCTGCTCCACCATAGAAAGATGTGGCAGTCTGCTTCCATAAAGATTTTATCCTTGGAAACCCTATAGGGCAGTTCTATTCTGTCCTATAGGGTCACTATGAGTTGGAATTGACTCGGCAGAAATGGGTTTTGTATTTTTATCTTTTATTTAATAAATTGGTGGTGATAGTGGGTGACTGTTTTGTTTTCTTTTTTAAAGTTCTTTATTGTCCAAATAAGAGGTTGGAAATCCTAGAAAATCCATCTACTCCCTCATTTGTTTTGTTTTTTTTAAAAGATTGACTAATTTGAAAAATCCCAAAAGTTCCATCTTCAAGACATTGACTACCTATCAGGGTATATATACGTGTACACAAGAAACTATCTCAAGAGTGATGTTCAGTGTCATCCAAGAGATTGAAATGATATATGGAACCTCCAAGGAAGAAGTAATGACATCTATATCAGGAGTTTGTGAAAGGTTTTTTGATGAAATGGCTTTTGGAGAATGAGTATGGGTTTGAAATGTGGAAATTGGGCATTGAGATGGGGCATGGGGAGGCTCAGTCATGCTACACGGAGAGGGGACCCAGAGGTGCAGACACAGTAGGTGTGTTCACAAATCAGGGATGGATGATGTCCTTCAGACTGAGAGCACATGGAGTGGGAGAGGTGAAAAGGGACCAACAGTGAATGTTGAGGTCTGTATTCAGTAGTCAGGCAGCGATCCAAGGGCCTTGGAGCCGTGATCAGGACTGTGACTCCAGCTAAATTCAGAAAGCAGGGTGCAGAGCAGGCAGTCCAATAATCAATTAATTAGCAGAATTTAGGGGTATAAAAATGGCTTGGTTGGGGAGGCATCTGACCTCTTCTAACTTCATAAGGAGAAGAGAGGATCAGCATCAGCATCAGCCCAAGGCTGATTATTATGAGGTGGCGGTCAGACATGCCTCCACTTTCCAACCTTTTTACCAATTCTGACACTAGTCTTCCCTCCCCCGGAACTCTTTACTTCTCTGCTGCATTCAATAATTCCCTGCAGTGGCCACACAGAACTCACAGACAATATTCACGATTATGGGGTTTATCAGGGAAGTGACAGGTTACAATTCAGGCTTAGGAACATTCAGGATACAGTTCTTCCATCAGGATAGCTTCTTGTCAGCCAAGCTCACAGACATGCCTCTCTCCAGCCCTCAGCCTTTGTCCTGCTCAGGCAAGTGTTACAAAGCTCCTTTAAGTACCCTGAGGCACCCCACTCTACCAGTAAGCCTCAGCTCGAAGGTGCTCAGCTCTGGCTCTGTGAATTGGCAAACCTAGCTCCACCAAGTGCCCGGAGGCATCCTACTCCTCCAGCAAGCCTCCTACCTTGAGGTACTCAGCTTTCTTGCTCTGTGGGCCGGGATGTGCCATCTTCTGCTGGCCTTCTGCCTCTGCTGCCGCCATTTCTCTGCCGCTGCTTCTCGCCATCTTTGATGTTACAGCTCTCTCTCGGTATTTTGGTTCTAGGAGCTTCTCAGTGCAGGGATCCCGGGTCCAAAGGACCCACTCCATTCCTGGTTCTTATTTCTTGGTGATGTTGAGATCTTCCCCTCCTGCCTCTGGAATGGCTCCTTCTTTTAAGCCTAGCAGAATGGAAAACTGACCAATCCCCTCATTAGGGTTCCATATACTTTATTTGCATGGTCCCACTCACACAAGGATGCCATGCACCTTATTTACATTGTTAGCAAGCTATCCAGTCTCCTTGGTGGGCCACAAGCACCTCATTTGCGTAGTCCCACCTAGTCATTTGGTGGGCGTTAAAAGACCGTGGCTAGAAGGACCATATTAAGTAATTCACTGCTTCTGCAAGGGGCTGCTCATGACAGACTGAACTCAAACGAATCTGTGATGAAAGAGATCACAGGTTAGGAGAGAATATTTTCTTGGAGGGGCACAAGGGAGATTTTTGGGATGCTGGAAATACTCTACATCTCAGTCTCAGTGGTGGTTATATAAAACCAGTTGCCATGGAGTTGACTCTGATTCACGGTGACCCCACGTGGTGTGTCAGTGAAACTGTGCTCCATAGGGTTTTCAGTGGCTGATTTTTCAGAAGTAGATCTCTAGTTCTTTCTTCTGAGATGCCTCTGGGTGGACTCGAACCTCCAACCTTTCGGTTAGCAGCTAAGCATGTTAACCATTTGTACCACCCAAGGACTCAAGTGATTGCAGGGGTGTGTATATACTTAAAATTCAGTGACCCATACACATAAAATTGGTGTGCTTCACTGTACATAACCTATATGCCAATAAAAACGAAAAAAAAAAAAAATCCGTGGCAGGGAGTGTTGGCCAGGGATGGGGGGCACAGGCAGGGAATGAGGGTCAGGATATTATGAATGTAGACCCCCTGACTCTCACTACCTGAGTCAATGTTGGCTGAAACGGCTCCAATTGGATGCAGGAGATGAGAAGGTTAGAGGTCCAAGGTGACTCGAGGCTCTAAGCCTGTATGACCAGACGTAAGTCAGCCTGGTTCGGTTCCGCAGGGCGTGCCACCACCAGTGCTGAGATGAAGTTTGAGATTCTAGCGAGATGCCATGTTTTTCACAGCATACTCCTGATGGTGATTGCAAGGCTCACAGAAGCTGTTTTTCCTTCAAGTTCTTTATCTTGTAAAGTAATTATGAATATTAGTTTCATGTTTTCACACATTTATTACTCATAGGCTCAGGCTCCAGATGAAATGCCACGACAGAATTACAGTAGTTCAGCCTCTTAGGGAAGGGGAGCCGTCTTCTCTTCAGAGAGCTGGTGTGCTCATGATTGGGGTGGGCCTAGATTTCATTTCATGTCCTGGAGGTGCCCCTGCCAGGGGAGAGGGCACAACACTGAGGTGTGTCTGTCTGTCTCTTTCTTTCCTTCTGTGACCTTTGGGGGCCCAACCTGACCCATTGGAGGCCTGTGGTTCCTGGAAAATTTTGTCTAGTCTAAAGTTGACTGGCGCAGTCCACCTTGGCCCCGAGCTTCTCTTTCTCTGGAGAAAATGATGTGGAACTACGATTGTTTCTGGGGCCAGATAAGGACAGGAACCCTGCAGTCCCAGGGGGAGTGATTCACAGAGGCTGGTCTGGCTTTAGAGAAGCCGGTTCAAAGTAGTCAATGACCAGCTGGAAAGTTAGTCTGAGTTGGGTTAAGACTGCAGTTGTGGCTGTTAATGATTGCCGAAATGCTGTGATCCATTAAAAGCTGGGGCAGTTCCAGCTGGAGCTTGCTGCCCATTATCACTTCCTGTTCAACGTGACGTCTTTATGGTTTCAGGAAGGGAAATTGGTCTGTGGTCAGGTGGGCCTCGCTAGATTTATGTTCCCAGTGACAGATGGTAGAAACGGCAACTGCAAGCAAGTGTGCAGGGCTA